ACAGCGTACATAGAAGATCTTCATTTCTTTATGTGACAAACTGCCATCAAGACAGAAATGTCTCTTTATGTGTAGAGAAGGTGGGAATTCTTTGGTAGGGGTATCCAGGTGAACGCAGAAGAAAAACAAATTATTCTGTCTTATCCCTGCTCCACGGGCATAAACATGCATGCTTGGGTGACTAATATGTGCATGTTTATGAGACAACTGGCCAAGAAGCAAGCCTCGCAGGTCACATTGCCAGCAAAACTCACTCTGCCAATTTATATGTGTAGTAGACTGGAAGTAGAGACGTAGACAGAAGTGTTGGAGGGTTACATGCGCAGAAGTGGGTTGCATTAACATTTTATAACAGGGCCATATGATATGAATTTACTCCTCCATATCTATTAGCATATAAAGTCCAATATGGATCTCCCAGTATGCTATTGTTAGTGCACTGACAGAGAGATAACCAAGATGGACCCTAAAAGTGATTTACAGGATGAATGGAAGGACCTTATAACATTTACTAGTGCTAATAACATAAGGCACCAAGTTACTAAAAATAACAGACATCGCAGAGAAGGTCAGATGTCGACAATGGACAGCAAACAAGGAGAGTGTGAAATAACACATCCTAAGAACAGAGTGCCTAGGTGCTTTCACATCAGTCCATGCCCCCAAAGGAACTTACAGTCTAAAATCTATAGCACAGTCGCACAATACTGGTTGGAAAATAACTGGCATAAAGGTACATTCTGTGATAGGAAAACCATTTAAACATAAGAACATGCTTAGTAGTTATAACCACTAAGCTACTGCTCTGTCCTATGTATATATCACCAGCTAAGCCACTGCTCTGTCCTATGCATAAAACACCAACTAAGCCACTGCTCTGTCCTATGTATATATCACCAGCTAAGCCACTGCTCTGTCCTATGCATAAAACACCAACTAAGCCACTGCTCTGTCCTATGTATATATCACCAGCTAAGCCACTGCTCTGTCCTATGCATAAAACACCAACTAAGCCACTGCTCTGTCCTATGTACAGTATATATCACCAACTAAGACACTGCTCTGTCCTATGCATATATGACTAACTAAGCCACTGCTCTGTCCTATGCATATATGACTAACTAAGCCACTGCTCTGTCCTATGTATATATCACCAATTAAGCCACTGCTCTGTCCTATGTATATATCACCAACAAAGCCACTGCTCTGCCCTATGTATATATCAGCAACTAAGCCACTGCTCTGTCCTATGTATATATCAGCAACTAAGCCACTGCTCTGTCCTATGTATATATCACCAACTAACCCACTGCTCTGTCCTATGCATATATGACTAATGAAGCCACTGCTCTGTCCTATGTATATATCACCAATTAAGCCACTGCTCTGTCCTATGTATATATCACCAACAAAGCCACTGCTCTGCCCTATGTATATATCAGCAACTAAGCCACTGCTCTGCCCTATGTATATATCAGCAACTAAGCCACTGCTCTGTCCTATGTATATATCAGCAACTAAGCCAATGCTCTGTCCTATGTATATATCACCAACTAACCCACTGCTCTGTCCTATGTATATATCACTAACTAAGCCACTGCTCTGTCCTATGCGAATATCACCAATTAAGCCATGGCTCTGCCCTATGTATATATCACCAACTAAGGCACTGTTCTGTCCTATGTATATATCACCAACAAAGCCACTGCTCTGCCCTATGTATATATCAGCAACTAAGCCACTGCTCTGTCCTATGTATATATCACCAACTAAGCCACTGCTCTGTCCTATGTATATATCACCAACTAAGCCACTGCTCTGTCCTATGTATATATCACCAACTAAGCCACTGCTCTGTCCTATGTATATATCACCAACTAAGCCACTGCTTTGTCCTATGTATATATCACCAACTAAGCCACTGCTTTGTCCTATGTATATATCACCAACTAAGCCACTGCTTTGTCCTATGTATATATCACCAACTAAGCCACTGTTCTGTCCTATGTATATATCACCAACTAAGCCACTGCTCTGTCCTATGTATACACTGAGTGGCCAGATTATTATGACCACCTGATGTTTGTAGGCAAATTAGCTATAATTAGCGTTAATTTCGCCAGACAAATCGCCATCCAATACAAGCGCTTTTGGGGTCTCAGCAGTACCCCTTCATCAGGCTCTGAGCCTGATGAAGGGGTACTGCTGAGACCCCGAAAGCGCTTGTATTGGATGGCGATTTGTCAATAAAGGACTTTTTGCTTCAAAACTTTTGGTGTGCTGGTGACAATCCTTTCTAGACCTGCTTATATTTCTGTGCAAAAGTGACACTTCTGCAGCGCGACAATGTTGCGCAAATTCGTGCGACATTGAGCTACACCATACACCATTGAAGTCTATTGGGCCAAATCGCATGAAATCTGTCGAAAAATAGGTCATGTTCAAGCAACAAGCTTGAGCTACAAGCTACAGGTGACATTGAGAAGTGAGATGTGAACAGCTCCATTGAAATGCATTGGACAAGCTACAATGAGCTACATTGAGCTGATGTTTGAGTGATTTTTGAGCTGAAATCGCGCTACAAATTGCTCAGTGTGAATGGGGTCTAATAGTTGAGCAAATATTTTATCACATGCAAACTTTTGTACTTAGGCCTCATTCACCCGAGAATCGTCCGGCACGTACAGCTCCGTACTGCGTGAACGGCCGTATCGGACAGCTGCCGGGAAGGACAGGTGCTGCGTGTGATTAGTACGCAGTCCCTGTCCTTCTCTATGGGACTACATGGCCGTACGCCACCCTACGCTCACCTCAAATGCAGGTCCGTACGGGTGCGGATGTCCCGGCTCGGACGCAGACAGGATCTGTCAGCATACGCGTACGCTCACCCGCTCCCGCACGGATGTGCAGGGTGAGTGAGCGTAGGGTGGCGTACGGCCATGTAGTCCCATAGAGAAGGACAGGGACTGCGTACTAATCACACGCAGCACCTGTCCTTCCCGGGAGCTGCCCGATACAGCCGTGTACGCAGTATGGAGCTCTATGTTCCGGCCGATTCTCGTGTGAAAGAGGCCTTAAGGCTTCGTATACACTGACACCCTTATGTTTAGCTTTTCTAACAAAGCAGAAGATAACTTGGAAGCATAAACAACTTTTTTTGCTTCCCAGAGCACTTTTCACTTTGTTTCAATGTTCCTGCTTAAAGCCACATTAGATAAGTTTTAGCACATTTATATGCAATTGGATGCATTTAAAACTTCTAAACGGATCCTGAATGCACAGAATTTTATTTTGTCTAAAGCTAATCTGAATGAGGATAAACGCAGATACATGCAAAGTTGGAATGAGACCATTGAAAATCAATTGCATGCATTTATATGCATATAAATGCAGGTTTGACATTGCCGGTGTGAGGCCTTACAGTTTATTGAATCAAGCTGAACCTCCCTAAGGCCCCATTTACATGGGGTGATCTTGCATCCCTGAAGCAAAACAAACGACAAACGCACTCAACAATTTGTTACCAGTTATACAGATATCTTCTGCCCCCATGTGCTCCAAGATGGAGACTCTCATAGTTTAGAGTTAGGACCGCACTATAAAAGAGGTGCCTTGGCGCGGCAGTGCGGCTTACACATCCTCGGCTGAAGACGTGTATCCAAACCTCTGTCATTATCCTTAGTGGTGAGACATGTTGTTTTACATGCTGGTTTTGTGAGTGTGCCATGATGCCTTTCTGCTGTTTTACGATCTTGCATCCCTGTCACAGGACCCTCCCTACCATCTTGTCTTGAATTGTATTGTGATTGTAATGTCTTCCTTATATTGTAAAGCGCTGCGCAAACTGTTGGCGCTATATAAATCCTGTATAATAATAATAACCTACGGATTCCTGCCACAGGAATGCCAGGTGTCACCAGATGTGGCCGCTGTACCCATTGAAGTTAATGACAGGGTGACATCAGATGCATCTGTCAGCGGAGGACCGCATGTAATTGTACATGGCATGATTACATGAGGTTTGGAGTAGGTCATTATCCCTGGACACAGGATAGATGTGTCATTGTACCATGTATAATTACAAGCAGACTGACATAGGCCCCATTCACACCAGATCCGTTGCGTTGCGTTACCATCCATTTTGTAAGGGTGCATTCACACCAAAATTGGAAGGTACTTGCAAATCAACGGAAGGTCCTCTCTATAAATGGATTCTAAATACTTTATTCATGCTGGAAGTTAGCTACATCGCCTTTCTCCTTCCTACATAAACAGGAATCCCCTTGAGAACTGAACAATGGGGGGAATTGATCAAAACTGGAGAAGACGTATCTGGGGCAGTTGCCTATGGCAACCAATCAGCCTCTCTTTTCAGTCTGTTCAGTTAAGATTTGAAAATGAGACAGAGAAACTGATTGGTCACCATGCACATCTGCTCCAGGTTTTGTCTGCTCCAGTTTGGATAAATTCCTCTCATTGTACCTTAAAAAAAAAGCATTGTAGCTCATGCAAAATTGCACCCTAGCCCACACTATGGGCTAGGGTGCCCATGTCAACGGATATGCACTGTAGTTTCAATGGGCCTTACTGTTGTTTCTACAAGACAAGAAGGAAAGGAATTCTTCTGCTTAAATGTTTTGCAGGGTATCTAACTATTTCTTACTCCATCCAAATCTAACAAAAAAAAGATTTGGCGTTAGTTATGCTTTACTATAAAAGAGTGAAGACATAAACGTATTATCCGCCCAGATCAGCTGACATGCCGGGATAGCTCATAGTACACAAAAATGTATATTTATTTTACTACATTATCGCTGAACAATTATTCCTATGGGGAGATCAGTACACAGCAACTCAGCAGGTAGGGAAATAAAACCTTCCTTGTTTACTTATTACACACAATTCCTACTTGCCTGATAATCCCTCAATTACTACTGCAAACAAACCACAAAGTATTTATTTTCAATTGTAAAAAGAGGTCGGTGCAATTATTTCATTACCGTGTCACACAGATGTAGGGCTGTCAGCAGCACCAGGGCACCAGTACTTGGCCTATATATACTCCAGTGTTTTCCACTTAGTGTGGATGACCTCAGGAACCTACAAAATCATGAGAGACGTGTAAATATATGCTTTCTTCATACAGTGCTTACAATGGCAATTAGTATATAGTCCTTTGCTGCATGCATCATTGAAGTTCATATATTTATCATTGAACTAGTCAAAATAATATGTCTATATACTGTATACTTTTATTTTCTTTCCCACAACAAACTGCATTATTAACTATATATTAAAAATCAAAGAAAATTATGGCAAGGCTCATATCGCTTATTACTATGCAGCTTAACTTGCTGTTATGACAAAATACCACGCCACCGAGGACGCTCCATTATGGGTCTCCCTTGAAGCAGTGGACTGTGACCCACTGACCATTAACAACCTTCTTTGGTTACTCCCTAAAGACAGACGACACATGGACAATCCTATGACGGCCCCTTCCTCAAGAACCCAGCCTTCCCCCCAGGCTGCGATTCCACCTCAGCATTTCGACATTGGGTATCTGGAGAAGTGACAAATCTATATAAATTGTATACTGCAGTCGGCCAAAAATCCTTTCAACAATTACGGGAGAATCCAATGGACCTTTGTCAACTAACGCCTTTCCGCGAGACTGGCCGATGCGGTTCCCCGCTTTGAACAAATTTGGAACCCTTGGATCCAATACTTGCAGACACAATCTCCCCTCTATCACATTCTTGTCCTCTACCTATCCCTTTTTCTCTTTCTAGCTAACACTGCTGACCCTCCTCTCAATCCTACCTGGTCCCTTCTCCCAATTAGGAGAGAAAGTTATTCACTTTTATTTGAATGTACACGCCCATGTACATTTAAGCTGGCTTCAACGAGCAGTGAGCAGCAGCTTAAGAGTCTCAATGTTTGATTGCTACTTGCTCCTGATGCTACCTCTATGATATTTAATACCATCACGGATTGTGTTGCAAGAGATAATGACTCCAGCTTTGTAAGCTACCTTATGTTTCTATATTCCTGCAACATTTGACTGTTAAACTACTTTGAAAATTGTCAATAAAAACGTTTGAACTAAAAAAAAATCAAAGAAAATAAGACTCAGTGATATAAATGACTGTTCCCCCTCCATATGGTATCATGAACTGTTTTCTCACTAACAACCTCAGGAGCCCCATAATGCCATCAAACATGCTAACCTTCCCCCAGCCTGGAAGATAAGAGAAAAGGGAGAATGGAAGAACATATGGGATCGTCCTACAGATATGCAACTTAACATTTTATTTTAGTTTTAAATAGAGTGGTGATAGATTACTGTACTGTAGAACCTGTGTTGGGTTTTTAGTGCTATCTGAGGCTCCGTTAGGGAAGTTTCCCCATGCTATCTGCCCCAGTCATCACAGATTCACCAGACAGGAAGTAAAGCAAATCAGTAGAAGAAATTGACCTTTAGCATGTACTGTCATTCCTGCTCAGAAGCAGCATGTGCCTAGGCACCCTACCTTCTTCTAGCCTGGAATACCAAGCTCACTACTACCACTGATTATTGGATTGTAATAATATTGTAATCGTTGATGGGGTCGGGGCCTAAGAACAGAAATAGCTGTTCCACAGAGACATTGTGCAATAAATGACAAAGTGCGCCTGGGCAAAAAGGCAGCTGTACAGTACCTACCATAAGTGTTATATCATTCACCATTGACCTGTCTCATACTGTCTGAAGAATAGGGTCTAGGCCTCCTTTAGGTTCAATGAAGGGGTTTCATAATAAGTCATACTTGCAGATATACTTTATGTCCATTAGTGGAATGGCATAAATATAATAAAGGAAATAAATAGTAATGGTGCGGTATATGCTTAGCTGGAGCTTGTTCACAGAATGAATGTCCAAATTGTGTTAATTGCAGTTACATTGTGTACCATATTTTATTGTCGACCAGTAGGTAGTTTAGAGTTTCATGGGCTGTGATAGATTGAACATATGACTTATTACACAATATAGCTGTAGAAGATTTTGTGGATATTGGGGACAGGATATATTGCAGGGAAATATCACTTATAATACAATATGGAAATGGAGGGCTCCACATATAGTGTGGACTGCACCATATTTCACTAGTACCTTGGTAATCTGTCGCTGCAGTATGACAGCATATAACCCTTTAGAACAGGGGGGAAAACTCCGACCCTCCAGCTGTGGAAAAACAGTTGTAGTCTGGAAAAACAATATGTATTTGCAGCACAGCTGGAGGGCCGGATTTTGCCTACCCCTGCTTTAGATGAATCCTTTAAATTGTACTTGTGCTTCATGTTATTGCAATGGACATGCCTTTTTCTATCAAAATGGATTTCTATCACCGTTACATTTAAAATATCAGCAATAGGGATGAGCAAAATGAGTTTCTACTTTGATTATATTTACTGAAAATCTGGATATTGTTTGTAATTTCTTTTCATTTTGGCACAATACATTGTAGTCCATGAGGAAGGCTAAACTAAAGTGGTTTTTGCTTTTTACAGGTGTAATAGATGTTAAATGTCTCCAGGTAGTAGGGAAAGTTCCTTCCAACTATCCTGGACCTTCTCTTGTGCCAAAAAATGGCCACTGAAGAAAACCTGTCCCTAACCCTGTGTTTTTATCAGCAATCCATGTGATCATTATGTCAAAGATGGCATGGAGATAATATGGCTTTGTAGATAAACAAGGAATTAGGGTTAGCATAAAGCTGTGTATACACTGGTAGATTTTTGCACGTACGTTCATACCAAAAATCTCATCTGAGCATTTGATAATGCCATCAGAGCCTTGACAAATGTCGTTGAAGGTTTTGTTTGATTTCAACATTAGTGTCAAGGTCTTACCTTGTCCTCATGGTGGCAGCCATTTTGGACATGTGCAGACTGCATTCTCTTTTATATCCTCTGATTGCATCATTGCTTGCCTGCTGCCTGGGCATCGCACAGTGATGATGTGGCAACACCTGACTATATCAGTCTGCTCAGGATTCAGGTTCATTGCCCTTGCGCTCGTGCTCCAAGGTGCATCTCTGGTGATCTGAGTTCCTTTGTGTGTTCCTGTGTATGATCCGGTCCGGCTGACGTTTCCTCTGGCGCTCGATTCCCCGCATCGCCAGACGTACCCACATTGGACTCGATTCCGGCTTGGACGACTACCCGCTTTGGACTTGACCCTGGCTTGGATGACTACCCGCTTTGGATGTGATTCCGGCTCGGCAGATGTATCCGCATTAGACTTGACCGGCTTGATCCTGACCTCGCTGCTCCCTGATGAATGTTTATTTATGTTCCTTTAAATAAACAACTTTATTTTACCTGCGTTTCTGTGTGGTCTGGTTTCCTGGCTCCCGTGACAATTAGATGTTGTAATGAATAGAGTTTACTGTTTGAATTTTGTTTTGTTTGAGAAAATGTTGGCACTATATAGCACACTGGATCAGTAGGGTCAGCGATATCCATACAACCCTCCCAGCCACCATGGTGCAGAAGCATATTTCCATCAAGCAACTACCATTATATAGATAGCCAAAGTTATTTCCTATATACTCACTCAAGCCATTCAACTAAGTAAGTAAAGAATTTCTAATCTGCATACTTGTTCCAAGCCAGTCACTTAAAAAGTAGGGAAGCCACTGGATCAATATGGAAACTGGAGAGACCATTAATAGCTTCCATAATCCCTGACTACAGAATTACTTTAATGCTACTGTTGTCACAAGGTATTTTATAACATATAGAAAAGAAGAGTTAAAAATTACATCTGATATGCATGACACTGGTGTTTCCTGGTGGACAGACAGTACAAATATGAATATTATTTCTCCAGATACTTGGCATGACTTACCTGTTCTTCAGATATCGTACAAAATCTGGATGTGCAACTAATAGCCTGTTAAAGTCAAAATTGTTCCCAAAGTCATTCCTCGGGTGAAGCCTAGAAAGAGGGAAAGAGATGAGCACTTATATTATTCTTCTTTCTAAAAATATGAGTGTGCCTATGAAATGAAGTTATTAAAGTAGAACTCTAAGAAGGTGCAGGTTTGGGGTAGGTAAGTTACACAACTTACCTACCCCAAAGCTTCTTCTGAATCAATGTAGTCACACCTACAAATGTCTATGAGGAGTTTACGATCACCCAGCACTGACACAGGGACATGGACTGAGATTAGAGTGGGATGAGCTGAGCTTTTGCAGCAGCAGATCTAATACATAATGTACCCTAACTATAAATAGATATAGATACATAGATAAAACTATAACCTACAGGGGTACCCGTTAGGTCGATCGCAATTCAATCTCAAATAAAAGCAAAAACTGTAGTTTCCTGGAGTTCTGCCTTAAAGGGACACTTTTTTTTGTACATGCAGGGTAAAGAAAGATGGTCACTCAGCTCTTCTACCTCCCTGCCATTTAGCTGCCAGTGCTGTCGAGGGGAAGCCCTGTGTAAGCTCCAAATGTTCTTGTCCCCATCTGACACATTTTATTTATTATTGTAGTGACTATCTGAAAGTATTATTATTATTACGTAGTATTTATATAGCGCCAACAGTTTGCACATTGCTTTACAATATAAGGAAGACATTACAATCACAATACAATTCAAGACAAGATGGTAAGGAGGGCCCTGCCCCTAAGGGCCCCTAAGGGCTTACAATCTAAAAGAGGTGGGGCAAATGATACATGAGGAGGTAGCTGTGTGGGGATGAATTATCTAAGAATGTGATGGTTCAGTGTTTAGGTCGAGGTGGGATAGGCTTCCCTAGAGAGTCTTTAGTAAACGCCTAAAGGCAGTCAAGGTGGGAGATAGACGAACAGGTTGGGGTAAAGAGTTCCAGAGGATGGGAGAGACTCTAGAGAAGTCCTGGATACGAGTATGGGAGGAGTGGACAAGGGAGCTGGAAAGAAGGAGGTCAATGGAAGAGCGGAGTGGACGGTTATGGTGATATTTTGAGACAAGGTCTGAGATATAGCCGGGGGCAGAGTTGTGGATGGCTTTATAAGTGACTGTTAATATTTTGAATTTTATCCTCTCGGCGAGTGGAAGCCAGTGTAGGGATTGGCAGAGGGGGGATGCAGACACAGAGCGGTTGGTTAGGTGAATGAGTCTGGCAGCTGCATTCATGATAGACTGAAGGGGGGATAGCCTGTGTAGTGAAAGGCCAATAACCAGGGAGTTACAATAGTTAAGATGAGAGATAACAAGGGAGTGCACGTGTAGTTTGGCGGTTTCATTGGTGAGGAAGGGGCGTATTTTGGGTATTTTACGAAGGTGAAGGCGGCAGTATTTCTTTAATGTGCTATTTTATATTTTCTAGATTGTAAATTGTAAAGACTTTTGTAGAATCTCCATCTAGATATCTGTATATCAAGGGGTGCAATTAGCATTTCAGCTAAGCAACTAATGCAGGTGGGTAAGGGTCACCATTAATGGGCTTTTGGGATTTAAAGGTAAAGTCCACTTTTGAAAAAAATAATAAATGCACATTTCTTCATAAAAGATTGTGATATAACTATGTTTCATGTTACACCCTAAATATAGTCCAAAAGGTAAACTTAGCCTTTAAATGCAACTTGATTTTATTATCAGTTTGATAAAACTCTGAGATCATTTAGAATTCAATGACTGGTGCATTTGATCTCCTGCCATAAACAGTAGCTTACTGACACCTAAATGCAAATCAGTATGTGATATATATTTGTACACCACTGCAAATGTATACTAGTGACGTGATGTGCCTTCTGTGCTGGGTGAGGTATCCCCCAGCCCACCGAAGCTCCGCCCTGTCCCGCCGAAGATCTGCCTCCATCCCGCCGGAACCCCGCCCTCAGCTCGGTAACCAAGCTGTATGGGGAGGAAGAAGGGAGGAGCCTCCCTGTCCCTCACTTGCTCGTCACTGGTGAGGCATCAAGATCGATGTCCTCACTGTTTTTTTTTTCCGTTTTTTTTTATTGGACAGCTTGGACCAATTGCGCTTTGCCATTGGTCCAAGCCATTCACAGAGCTCACACCTCTAACACAGAGTAGAGGCTGTGACAGCTCTTGCCTCACCAAGTTAGGTTACACAAGCAGTGAGGAAGCCCGCTGCTGCGTACACTAACTACCTGTCAAAAGCTGGATGCAGCGCTGCCTGTATTAAACAGGCAGCGCTCACTCCATGACAGGTTACACAGCGGGGAGGCTTTGCCTGCTGTGTAATCTGCTAGAAGCCGCTCTGAATGGAGAAAAAGATGTCAGCTCTGCCTCCCCTGACCACACGTTCCTGATGTATACAGTACATGCCATTCTTTCACATCAGTCCCTGCCCTCAAGGAACTTACAATCTAAGACCCCTATGACCCCTACCGCACATGCTAGAGACATTTTAGACAGGAACCAACTAACCTACAAACATGTCTTTGGAGTGTGGGAGGAAACCCATACAAGCACAGGGAGAACATGCAATGTCCATACCAATAATGTCCTGGTCAAAACCTGGATTTTAACTGGAGACCTAAGAGCTGCATGGCAGCAGTGCTAACCATAGAGCCACCATGCTACCCCAACAATAATGTATGAATAGGACAGGAAATAATAAAGGAATTTCTAAAATATAGCCACATTTTGTGTATTTTTTGCAGCAATTTCAGATGATTGATAAGCAGAATAGAGTACGGACAAATATTTAGGCATGATAGGCTCACTACCAGGATATAAAACATTATAGTTGGCCAAGTTCCCAATCAGCTGCAGATTGATGGTGCTGATACCTGTCTATATATATACGAGATGGGCAACCAGTGAAATCCAATATACTATACCGATACTATTGATCAAGTACTCGCAGATACCAATTACCGATACTTTTTCTTAAAGGGACAGGTCACATTTTTTCTAAAGCAATACAAACTAATGCTTTAAGGTCACTTTCTTAATATTATGATTCATGAGATGACGAGGGAGCATGACGCCGGCTTCCCGGCCAATCAGAATGCCGGGCGCTGCGTCATTACACGGCGCCCGGCTTCCGGATTTGCTAGCTTCCTGACCAATCGGGAAGCCGGGCAGCGCATCATTGCACGCTACCCGGCTTCCTGATTGGCCGGGAAGTCAGCTCCATGCTCTCTCATCACAAGTGACGAGAGAGCATGGAGCCGTTTCCTGGCCAATCAGGAAACCGGGCAGCGTGTAATGATGCGCTGCCCGGCTTCCTGATACAGGAAGTACTCGTGCTAGGTATCGGAGCATTTGGACGAGTACGAGTACTCACCCAAATACTCGGTATCAGCACCGATACTAGTATCGGTATCGGTGCATCCCTAATATATATGTAGCAATAACGTTACTTATACGCACAAATATATGAAAACAAAGGAGTGAGAACCCTAAGCAAAAGAACGCACAAAGTAAGAAGAAATGCAATATATATGAACTGTATAGGATGGTGTGTTTTTGGTGTGTATATAGAATTATAGCTACTGTATGTCCTATCTATGAAGTACAAGGTGGAGAAGAACATTCATTAACACAATATATATTAAAGAAGAAAGATTTTATCAAAAATTATACAGAAAATTTGCAACTTTTATTTCCAGTAACCCAATAAATAAAATCACAGATACGGGATACAGTAGTGATGTGAAGGTCAGTGGGAGGAACCACTAAATGCTGAAAAACCTCTTATGGGGGGAGGAGGAACATTTTTAAAAAAAATTACATTATTTTATTGTGACCCTGCCTCTATTCTTGCCTAGGCGATAAGGACATGTCTGTGCTTTTGCAACCTGTAGATGTAATATAGATATCCCAGAAGGCTGCCCGAGCAGGGAAACTGAGAGGCTGGACCTGGAGGAGGTTCATCGGGGGCTGGCTGCCCAAACTCGGAAGAGACAGCCAGCGCCAGATGACCAAGTGGAGGAAGAAGGCAGCACAGCACCCGGCCTGTGTCAGCAGAGCAGCCGGTCTCAGCAGGACATCGCTGGATTCACTGGGCATGTGAGTATGTTTTTTAAGAGAACCCAGCCTCACGGGTTAGAGGGGCTAAAAAGAATGGACAAGTGGAGGGGGGCAGTGATATTCCTCTTTAAAGTGTATGGCCACCTTTAGATCCAAGCTTTTAAACATATTTTAAAAGTTGAGTGGATTCCTGGCAGATCCCCAGATATTTGTATGTACAGCTTCACTTGTATGGTCTTCAAAGGGATAAAGCGTGTCAAAATGTACATGTACTGCAGAGATATACCTTTTTTAAAAAAAAATTTGTGTCGACATACACCTTTTATGTTGGGCTAATAACACTTAGTGTTGGGTTAGCGAAATCCTATGCTTAGAGAAGATAGCCCAAATACTTTATTTTACAGCATAGGGGTGGAATGTGATCACGTATGTTATATGGATGGCTACTTCCACAGAAAGCATTTTATGAACAAGTAATGTACCTGTATTGCTCCAGAGTGCCTCTTTTGATGTCTTTGTTCTGCTGTAAAGCCTTTAACCACTCATAGTCCCTCCGTGCCTCAGTGAAAAGGATGTACTTTGTCTCCTGGGAAACCCACAAAGGAATGTGTTATTACCTGACCTTCCCCAATTGTCCTCATGAAGTATGTATTAGTGCAGGTGGTATTCCTTAGAATTGTGCCATTCCAGGGCACAGTCATGAAAGACTGAGTGGAAAGCTCACATGTCCTATATTGTCATGATAGCAGTCAAAATGCTATTCTAAGTTAGCACTGTATTGGTAAGTGGGGGAGCTGGCTTTCACATTGTTTGCTTACAAAAAGCTGGTATGCAGCATTAAAACGCATCTTAGACAACTACTAATACTTGGACAATGACTTCCAACTATGTCCTTGTGATGCTGGACATTTCAAAAAAATTCACAATTAGGCTGCACAAACAGAATGCTGGTAGAAAATACAACTTGAAAATGATGGGGCTAACATAATTTTTTGGGGGCTCAGCCTGCAATTGTATTCCTAGAGCTAGTAAAGTCGAGGGATACTCACATAGGTTCCCTGTTTAAAACTCAACTTCAGTCAAAACTTTTTATTTTGTTTTGGAAAGAGTGGGGAAGGGTTAGGTCAGGGGTAGATAGCCTCAGCACTCCAGCTGTGGTGAAACTACACGTCCCATTTGGCATTGCAAGACTCTGAAAACCACAGGCATGACCCCCAGAGGTAGAAGCATGAAGGGATTTGTAGTTTTACCACACCTGGAATGCAATGAATGTCTACCACTGTGTTAGGTTGTAATTGCCATTTGTGTTCCTATCGGGAAGGTTTACCATATCTTCCTTTTAGTATTGGAAGTGATGGAAAATGTCTCCAACAGGGACACAGACAAAAACAAAGACACATTTTAGTGGAGTGGAGATAAATGTTTTATTTTTGCTGTATGAGCCTTCCTGTCCCAGTGACAACAGCTCCCCCCATTATTTATCCTGGTGTCACAGGGACAGAAAGTGAGGGAAATAAAAACTTGAAAGAAAATGTAACACGCTATGCAGAATTAAAAAGAAAATGTCTGGCATGCATGTGCCTTCAGTCAATATTGGGGCTAGTATGCACATGTGTTCAGGACTTGATCCCGCATCTTTTCTGGTAGGTTGAGACGTGGGGTGAGGCCATTGCTAGGGATGCCTATATAGTGGTAAACATGCATATTTCACTGTCGATGTACAGTATATGTAGTTTATTCACTATTTTAACTGTAACTTGTACTTTACCAGAGACCACTTATAATTAAAGAAATTATATAAAAACTCAATTGTGGAGTTGGACTTTAAAGGGTCTATTTATTAAAATATTTCCATAGCAATTCATCCAGCAACACTGCAAGTACCTTTGTTCTATGCAAATCAACCAGCTGTTGGGAGAATGGGGCAAAATCAAATGTTTGTAGGCTATTTTCTCATCTAGTCGAACGTTCTTTGCTGCAGTAAAAATAGATTCATGTATAAAGAGTGAATTGGGAAAATACTACAATACGACCACTAGATGGTGCTAAAGATCCTAGGAAATTATTATGGGGTCTATTCACAAAGCTGCCGTAGGCAGCCGAGTGAATAACCGACCCGAAGTAAAGTGAGCCGAACGCTGTTCGGCTATTCACTTCAGGCTTGTACGGCTGATTTCAGCCATACACCGACTAAAATCAGCCGTACATCGGCTTGCTGCGGCTGGCTTCAGGTTGGCCAAACATGCTAATCATGTTCGGCCGACCCGAAGTGCAGAAGGAGTTCGACTCAGCCAAACCTCCTGAAGGCTACTCGCTGCTGTTCGGCCTATTCTCATAGATGCCGAACAGCAGTACCTCTGTGGTATTGAGCAGAATTGAAAAACAGTTTAAAAAGTAGAAAAAATAAACTAGAAAACGATGGGCGGAGCTAGCAGTGACAGCTATCTCCGCCCAACTGTTTTCTATTGGCCGGGCGGTTCTGCTGCCGTCAGAATAAAAAAATTTAAAAAGCCAGCATAGGAATGCATAGCTAGATTCCTATTGGCTATTTTACTTTGCAATAGCCAATAACAAACCAGCTATTGCACCCGCCCTCTGCTGCTGTCAATCACCAGAAGGGGACCTGATGGAGAACTGCAGGTCCCCCTCTGCTGATCAGCAGCAGTGGGCGGGTGCAATAGCTAGTTTGCTAGTTTGCTGTCAGAGTAAACCTTTCCGGGAGAAAGTAATTCTCTCCTGGGTGGCCGGGAACCTTATTAGACTCCCAGACCGTCCGGGAGAGTAATGACAGATCAGCGTCCCTGGTTACCAGGTAACCATGGACGCCATCTGTCATTACACACTGAGAACCCGGAGAGGTTCTCCGCCGGGTTCTCAGTGTGTAATGACAAATGGCGTCCCTGGTTAGCTGGTAACAAGGGCCGCTGATCTCTCTGCAAGTGGCCGGAGCCAGCCGTGAGATGACGGCTGGCTCCGACCCGGCTGTCAGAAGCAGGCTGTCGGCCGGCCAATGGCCGGACACTCGGCCAGCTTCGGCTTTCACCTCGGCTCAGTTGAGCCAAGGCATATGCCTTCGGCTCAACTGGGCCGCTCGACCTACTTCGGGAGCGGTACGGGCTATAGTGAATAGCCCGTACAGCAGCCCTTCAGTTCTACTTAACCGAATGGGTCCTGGGGCCGAAGGATCAACCGAAGGTACGGCTAGATCCTTCGGCAGCTTAGTGAATAGACCCCTATATCTTAGTAACAAGAGATGCGATGTAACAATTCAGAATGCTCTGGGTAATAAGCAAATAACTGTAACCATTGCTACTATGGGGATCTATAATGAGGCTATAATGCAGTATATTCCTGATTCACTCATGTTCTTGATGAATTAAGCTATTCTTACTACTGCATATGATATTAAAAATAGTCCATTCTATTGTCCCCCATTGACAACAGCTGGTAATTTTGTACAGATCATGCAGTTTTATTAGACAAATAGCTATGCAATTATTTTTTTTTACAAATAGACCCCTATATGTACCTGATGTTTTGCCCTATACAGGCAAAGCACGGGCTCACTTTAATTTGTAGTTGTATTTTTTAATCCATAACACAGCTATTCGCAAACAGAATGTGGAAAAAGTGACGGGGTTTGCTCTCCTACGTTTCAAGCATTACCTTGTCCCGTGGAATATTGGGGAATCCTTTTTCACGTAGCAAGTACAAGGAGGATAACATTGTGAAAGCAGTGAATCCATAGAATGAGGTCCGAACTCCGACATCCTTTTCATGTCCCGTGATTACTGCTCCATTGACACTGAAAAGAGAGAGATAGTGAGGATTGATAGGAATACTAGTCTTTGATAAAAATATAAATTAAAATCAACTGCATAGCTAAGTAGCATACTTTAACTTTAGAAACCAGGATAAATAGCTACATTTATGGAAATTTGGGTATGTACAACGTATAACAAGTTTAAGAACAGTAGAGTGCTAGATGTTTCTAGAAGTTCTGTAAATGTCCCCAGACCGTCCATTAGTTGGTAACAGTTGTTAAAGCAGAACTGCAGCTGACATATACAGGCGGTCCCCGGGTTACATACAAGTTAGGGACTTTAGGTATGTACTTAAGTTGAATTTGTATTTAAGTCGGAACAGGTACATTTTTTAAGTGTAACTCCAGCCAAAAAAAACATTATTTCGTTTTGGATAGCATAGGGAAGGGTCACGTTTGTTTTGCTGTCTGTTCCCCTTGTTCAGAAGATTATAATATAATAAAAACATTTTTTTTTAATTTAAAATGACACCAAAAAAAGTTTTTTCTATTTTTAATTTAACTGGGTATAGCTCCCAGCAGTAAAGAGAGGGGCGGGACAGCGAAGGAGCGGCCGGACCGGGACGGCAAGCAGATGATCGGACCGGGGAATTGACGGAAGAGGCTGCCGGTACATTTAGGAGAACTGTGGACCCCGTTCGTAAGTACGGATTGTCCGTAAGTCGGACGTCCGTAACTCGGGGATTGCCTAAAAATACATAGCCAAGTGAAAGTAAAAATAAAGGAGGCACCCTTTTCTGCAATACTTACCTTCAGTTCAGAGTTGCCAGCCCACCCCCCCCCTCTCCCCACACACACACACACAGTAACTCCTTTCCACCACTAGATGTCCTCAGTCTTTAGGGTTGAATGATAGCCAGGTCTGTACGAATTTTCGTTTGCGGACGAATTTTCGTTGCAGCAAAGTGACAGAGAAAAAACTTGTGTCATAATACTATTCATATGACACCTTGGCTCACAGAACCGAATGGCGGGAGTTCCTGAATGCTATGTGGTATTTGACAGCTGAGTATGTCAAATGGGCGGAGCGAGCCGTGATGTCACGGCTCACTCTGCCCATCTGTTTACTTTCGGCCAGGAGATACCATTTTGCGGCGAGTTTTCGTCGGGTTCGGATGGTCGTCGTGCGGCGGGACTTTTTTTAATTCGGCGGGTCGACGGGCGTCGTGCATCGTGATTGACGCTGGATTACATGAATTAAGCCATTTTTTTTTAATTATAGGAATTAGGAAAAAATTGCTTTTTTTGTTTTTTTTCCAATTAAAGGATTTTCTCTGAGGCCTTGTTCACACCAAGCGGGTTCCAGGAGCAGAGCAGAGCAGTTACAGACCAGAGCAAAACTGAGTCCAATGTATTCCAATGGTATTTTTAGCTCCAGTTCACATTGCAGCATTCCGTTCCAGAGCAGGTAAAAAAAACTGCAGCAGGCCCTATTTTACCTGCTCTGGAACGCATGCAAATGCATGCAAACGCCCTGGAACGCACTGAAAGCCCAAAAACGTCCCGGAACGCATAAAAAACGCGGCAAAAAATGCGGCACAACCCACTGCACTGCGTGTGCAGAAACTCATGCAGATCTGCTCTGCATTTGGTGTGAACAAGGCCTAAAAGTGTGGTTTGTTGATTTACTGTGAATTTTAACCCCTTAGTGAATGGGTAGGGGTACAAGTACCCCTTACTCATTCACAAAGGGGTGGCGGCATCGGGTGCCCCCTTAATTAGGGGTACGCCGATGCAAATAAGCCCCCTTGCCCGCAGACCCCAACACCCTCCCAATGCCGAGGGCACGTGGCCTGGTAAGGTGCAGGGGGGGGCACTGGATTGTCTTCCCCTTTTCCTGCCCGGATCAAGGGTCTGGTAGGAATGTTAGGGGGGTCCCCAAGTTTTTTTTCCCCATTTTTGGGAGCTGGGGTTCCCCCTTAAAATTTCTACCAGACCTAAGGGGCCTGGTATGGATTTTGGGGGGAACCCCACGCACTTTTTTTTGTTTTAACTTGGAGGGTGGTCCCTCCTAACATTTCTACCAGACCTAAAGGGTCTGGTATATATTAGGGGGGAACCTTATGCTTTTTTTTTTTTTTCTCTTCTGCAGACTTTCATCCAACAAATGAAATTTCGTACAGAGTACCGCTAACGAATTTAGTCCGAATCCCGAAACGAATTGAATTTCGGACCCAAATCCCCGAAAAACGAAATAACGCAAAATACGAATCAAAATGACAATGAAACTAAGGGGTCTATTCACTAAGCTGCCATAGGCAGCCGAGTGAAAGACCGACCTGAAGTGAAGTGAGCCGAACACTGTTCGGCTATTCACTTCAGGTTTATACGGCTGATTTCAGCCATATATTGGCTGAAATCAGCCGTACATCGGGTGGCTTCGGGTCGGCCGAAAATGCTCAGCATGTTCGGCCGACCCGAAGTGCAGAAGGAGTTTGACTTAGCCGATCCAACATCTGGATCGGCTAAGCCGAACCTCCAACAGGCTACTCGCTTCTGTTCTGTCTATTCTTATAGATGCCGAACAGCAGTGAGTGAATAGCCAAATGCCGCTGAACTAGTTGGCTATTGCAAATTGGAATAGCCAATAGGAATCTAGCAATGCATTCCTATGGTGAATGCATTCCAATGCATTCCTACGGCTCCGTGTCAGAATAAAAAAAAAAAGAAAAAGCAGTGTTTTTCTCCATGGCGGCCGGGAGCGGGAGACTCCCAGAGCACCCGGGAGAGTTAGGCTGTCTGGAGATCAGTGTCCCTGGTTAGCTGGTAACCAGGGACGCTGATCTCTCTGCAAGTGGCCGGAGCCAGTCGTAAGATCACAGCTGGATCCGCCCAGCTGTCAGAAGCAGGCTGTCGGCCGGCCAATGGCCAGCCGCTCGGCCAGCTTCTGCTTTCTCCTCGGCTCAGTCGAGCCGCCCGGCTGACTTCGGGAGCTGTACGGGCTATAGTGAATAGCCTCTACAGCAGCCCTTCGGTTCTACTGAACCGAAGGGGTCCTGGCGCCGAAGCTAGCCGAAGGATCGGCCGAAGCTACGGCTAGATCCTTCGGCTGCTTCGTGAATAGACCCCTAAATGAATTTTTTGCCGGTGCACATGTCTACTTCCTGTGCCTAGATGCACCTGTACCTTAAGGCTCATAGCTGTATATCTGCAGTGTGAGATCTAGGACACTGCTGCTCGTCCTGCTAGTCCTGCTAGTCTCACAATATTTGGAGATTCATTTGTTGATGTCTCTATATACTTTAAAGGTGGGCTGCATTATTAAATAAGTAATAAGATAAGTTAAAAAAAAATTTGATAAAGGAAACAAGAAGGTTTATGGTTAGTTTTCTGTTGCAAGAGCTTACCGAAATACGTAATCATGTTCATCAATCTCCCTGCCGAGACCTGATGCATTGAGAATGCCTCCGTTCCCAACCACAGCACAGCTAATGCAGCGTGGAAACTTATCCTCACTCTTCTCAGTGAGAAGTAGCTGCTGGTCTGGGATCCGCGGAAGAGCAGAAACCACCTCCCGAACCACTGAAACATGTAATCAAGAGCTAATTAGAAATTATATGAATAAAAAAACAATGAAACTTCTGCAGGTGAATCAGACAGAAAAATGACAGAAAGCACTCTGAAAAACCACCCCCCTCTGTAAGCATAACAGTCAGAATGGCAGCATTATGATGTGGGCATTAAAGGAGACTAATATGAAGACAAAATGTATTCATACTGGTTTTATTAAAATCTTTTGTCATTGAACACATAACTGGATTTAATGATGAGATTTAATGGGTTTAATGGATTTAATGGGTTGAGTCAATCTGCTTGGGTACGGTTCGTTAACGGTTTAGTGAACCGTGCTCACAAAGTTCACAATCTTTGTGGTAAACCCCATAAAAGTCTTGTTATTCAATTGTGGCCATTTGTGGGGCTAATAAACAAGCTATTGTCATACAAAGGGCATGGGAAGTCATGGGGAACATGCACCAATACCAAAATTAAGAAATATATAAATAAACATATCTTTGCCTGCGCAGAACTATTAGCTCTCCCTTCAGGACACACTAACAATATGGCTGCTGTGAGTCCACCCTTCTGTTAAAGGGGGCCTGGTTATCCATTTTGTTCAAATTATGTGGCTGACCAAAGACTACGCACTGCAATATGGGTTGTTCCCTACTTTTGGAGGCTAACCAGCAAACCTTTTGGCCAAAATTTTCCTGGGGATTTGCCACAAACTCATTGTAGCGGTGAACCCTAACTTAAACCCTAATGGTGATCTCTGGGTATCAAGTTCCCCCACTCCCGCAAAATAATCACCATGCTAGTTTATTTTTAAACAAAATCCTAATATAAGAGCTCCCTACTTAAATCCACAGTCATATGGCATACTGGGTCACAAGTCTTTTCTTTTCCTCACTGCAGAGGAGGGGGATTGTGTGACGACATGGTGATCAGTTTATGAGTTAAATGTGTATTGGTGTTGGGTTATGTTTGAGTGCGTTATGTTGTGTGACTTGGTTATGGAAAGACTATCAGCACCATCCCTCGTTATCTCCCATTGTACTCTGAGGGAGCTCAGAACAATGACATTCTGGCCAGGCTCCTGCTATGGCTGTCTGGAGTTCGTTAGCAGGTGGACACCTGTGGTGTTGAGCAGACCGATTGTCTGGGAGGGGAGGGGGGATGTGATGGGATTATATTCTGATTTCATCACTTGCTGTATAAAAGTTTGTGCAGTTGCTCAATAAAGCAGAGTTTGTTTACCCTACACTCAAGCCTTGGCTAGTGACTGGGGAAACTGGGAGCTAAGGATCTTCAGGTTCCAATATCTCCTCAGCAAGGAAGAAGACAGCGGCGGACATACTCATCCTGAGTACCGGGGTCCGTCACATTGGTGGCAAGCGGTGGGATGCTCTTCCTTGCCTAAGGAGACATTCAAACCACCACCGGGACCAAGTTTGCTGCGGACATAGGAGAAGAGCCACAGTTGCCTACGGCCATGGAAGCGCTGGCCCAGCTCGACAATCCTGGTTCTGCCCAGGATATGCTGGGAAGGAGAGACGCTTTGCGCCGGGAGATCTGGAGGGAGACTCTTCAATTGCAGCAGCACTATTGTGGCAAGGTCCTCCCTACATCCGAGGAACGATACTGGCTGCAATGGGACTTGCGTGTGCCTTTCCTGGGAGAGCAGACCCGGGAGGCATGGCAGTCGGAGATGGATTGGCTGCTCCAAACAGAACTCATGCTGGATGACGGGCATCGGGCGCTGCAGTGGTATGTCACCCAATTGTGTCCATGGCTGGAGAACAATGATCCCACAGAGGGCTATGACTTCGGTGGCCCGGGACTTATATTTGAGGCGCTCCAGGAGGATCCACAATTTGGGAGTGCACAGGAGTGGAGGTGGGAGGACATACGTGATTTTAGGGAGTTGGAACTCCCCAGTGAACTCGGATTGAGGGCTGATTTGGACTTTTTAGTCACACAAGAATGGGAGCTGGAACAGGCATACAAAAGACTGTTCGACATTGCTCAACAGCATGCCCCAGCAACCACAGATGCAGTGGAACTACTCGTCCCAGCAGAATAGCTGGCAACAGGGCAGAGTGCTTCTACCCTCTGCCCCACACCCATAGCCCCCCTGAAGCTCCTGGGAGAGATGGCGGCCAACCCCATCTCCTCGTCACCAGCTTCAGACGTGGGGGACCTTATCGATCTGAATGCAGAGGAACCGCTGCCCAGATTGTTCTTCAGCTGCCTACATTGCTGCCTGGCTGACATGGACACTTCCTCCTAGCTGTCCAGTGGTGGCATCCTCTCAGGTCCTGATGATGAAAATGTCTCAGGGAGAGACTAGTCGGTGTGGGCATAGACTGCAGTGCTGGATGACAAGTCTTCATTACCAGAAGAGACACTGGTAACTTACCAGTGGTAAGGGAACACAGTTAGTACAAAAAGGTGTTTTATAGCCTTTCAAAAAGAAATATTGGAAAATTCATGGGAGTGAGAAGGAGGGGTGGGTGGATTCAACTTTGGCCAAAGATGGGCATTAAATGCATACAATATGTGTGTGCGTGCGTGTGTGTGCATCATAGGTTGCTGAACTGGTTTCAGGCATAAAAAGCTATCACCATCAGGTGTCAGCAAATACCTCTGAACATGACAAGTGCCTTGGGAGCTCCAAAACCAGGATCATTCTGCTGCGTAAAACAAAAATGTTGCAGAAAAATGAAGACTGTTGAGAGTTTGTTACTAGCCATCTCCATATATGGTATAAAAAATAAAAAGTATTAAAAACCACTATAGATCACTTTTGATCAAATGGAATGTAAAGAGATGCTGTTTAATAGTATATGTGTATGAAGATTGAATTACCAGTGTAGTTTAATTCCATCCAGCCATATGGAGGAATAAAGTGTCCCAGTCTGACCCATTCATGATTACTGAAGTGGTGATTATCCAGAAATATTGTGATTTGGTTAAGGAATTTCTCTTTTAGCCAAGATGAATTGAGAGCCTTGATTTTTACAGATATAGGACAACTCTAAAGAGAAAGAAAGTAAACATACAAAAATGTCAGCACGCAAATAGGGAAATATACAGTATAGTCTCATGAATGATGTCCTGATATAAAGAGATATATAGTGATATAAAGTGTACATGTAAAAAAAATATTGTGATTTGGCTAAGGAATTTCTCTTTTAGGCCTCATTCACACACAACGCAAGCAAAATTGTATATACGCGTCTATGCGCGTATACAAGCGTATATACGAGCGTATATGCGTGCACTATATGCAATCCCAGAGTGCATCACTCGTAATTGAATTTTTAATGTGCTGTACGCATGTACGCGCGTATAGACGCGTATATGCGCGTAAATACGCAGAAATACGCTGCCCGGACGCCTCTCTGTTCCATTCTGTTTTTGCGCATATATACGCTACGCAAATATACGGCTCTATACGCGGCTGTGTGTATGGAGCCATTTATTTGCATAGGTTGCATATGGTACAATACGCACGTACGCGCGTATACGCGCGCATACGTGCGGCAGTGTGAATGAGGCCTTAGCCAAAATGAATTGAGAGCCTTGATTTTTACAGATATAGGACAACTCTAAAGAGAAAGAAAGTAAACATACAAAAATGTCAGCACGCAAATAGGGAAATATACAGTATAGTCTCATCAATGATGTCCTGATACAAAGAGATAATAGTGATATAAAGTGTACATGTAAAAGAGATCAGTCTAATGTAAATAACTTTATCAATAGCTGTTTATCTTTTAAAATGATATACTGTATGTACATGGGGACAGCCATGGCAATAGCTTATTACATGTGCAGGTTATGCTTCCTTCTTTGCAGTGCTACTGCAGGGGTATAATTACCTATACTGTGAATTCCCATTACATAGCCCCTTATTACTGTATGTTTGCCATTCCCAAATCAGACCATGCTGCTGGACTGCAAATGTAAACCCAACTCAAATGTTGTAATGCTTTTCCTTCCAAAAAGGTAAAGTTAGATTTAAAGAATAACTTTGGGCAGAATGAAGTGTAACCCTTGTAGTGGGGCAGCCCCCACACTGCAAGGGTTACATGTTCATTTTTGTCTAGGGTTTAAAATATGAAAGATATACTCACCCGAACCTCGGACTGCTAGACCGGTCCCTGCAGCCTCCCTCCCTTCCACTCTATCGGTAGAATGTACCTCTGTATCCTAATGTCCAATACACTGTATTAGACGTGATGACTCACAGATCCTCAGACAGAAGATGGGGTTAATTATCATAAACATTTTCTCAAGGAAAATTCAGTACAGAGAAAAACTTTTTTTTAGCAATGAGCAAGTTTTATGTAAGCAGCAATTCATCCGGCAAAGGGTTTCTGAAGATAAACAAATAAAAGTACTCAATAAAAGCAATTTCATTATAACCTAATAAATAAAGTACTGTTAGTAGCAGTAGGGATGTCCAGATACCAGTTCAGATACCAGTGCTGATACTTGGTATTTTCATGAGAACTACCGGGGTTGCAGCGGTTGCAGCTGGGACCTGGCTCTGGCGCATCACCAATGTCCTGAAATCATTAGTCTGTATTGTTTTAGAAAAACTGTCACATGACCAGTGGCGTAACAACCGGGGGGGCAGGGGGGGCACTTGCCCAGTGGAAAAATGGTATTGGTGCATGCTTTTATATATGTTTATAAAAACAAAATCATACATTAAAACAGAGATGTACAAATCCCAGGAGCTCCGTGTGCTCCTTACAAATGACAGCTGCCTCCTAACTTTTTAATTTTTCTCTAGTCTAGTGTTTGAGCTCGAAAAGTATCTACTTGTACTTGTACCGAGCACGGTACTTTGTATCTGAACATCCCTAATTACCGGTATACTATGCTTAAGCCACGCTGTGATCAGAGTATATGTCAGAACTATTGAGGCTAAAAAGAAATAATCTATGGGGCCTATGCATATTGTTGTACACATTGTGATATGGGCATCCTGGAAGCCATCTTGTACTGTCTGTTCTAATAGTATGTGAACTTAAAGTGACATTAAAGGCAAAAACGTTTTTCCCTCCCCCCAATGTTAATGAAAGCACTTAACTTAAATGAAGTCTCTTAATCCGATCTTCTTCTTCTTTCCTGTCCTTTTCAGCCTTCTCTCCAGCGCTGCTGCGGGTCTCAGATCCAGCGCTGACTCCTCTGTCCTTGCTGGCACTTCCTGTCCCACGGTGTCTGCATGCGGGTGTACGGGTCCACATATTTACCTTGCGTCTCTCCTGGTCTCCCGGCCAAAAATCCGAACTACGCATGCGCCCGCCCCAATATGCTTTGCGGCCACCGAAGCATTTTTGGGTTTTCGGAGGGGAGTGCGCGGCGAAGACAGGGGTAAGTTTAAACCGCTTTTAAAGGGTTTTTTAAAAAGATGTTTTACTTTTTGCATATATCTACTGCTGGCTAGCAGTAGATTTATAAAGAAAAAAAATGGAGGGTGTAGAAACCCTTTAAGTTCATGATTTATGGAGAAAAGCTCTAACATCAGCGACTCTTAGAGCCTTATCCCACACATTCCCAGCTAGTAAATTGTGGGGGTATCAGCCAACAACAAGATAAGGACTGGCCATGGGGCCACATTCCCAGGTGGTAAATTGTGGGGGTATCAGCCAAAAACAAGATAAGGACGGGCCTTGGAGCTAGACTGTGTTAGAAAAACATGTTATGTCTCAAATTTAACAAAGAGACTATGATTTTTTTTATTACTGGGGAAGAAAAACCGCATAATAAAAGTTGTCTTAGATACAGTATTATAAATGAAAGAAATTGTATTACCAATAATTTCAATTGCATTATTAGTATTGCATGAAGCATCCACATAATTAATTGAATAATTTTATATATTTTTCTTTTATATATACAGTATCTCCCAGAAGTGAATACACCCCTCACATTTTTGTAAATATTGTATTACATCATTTCATGTGACGACGCTGAAGAAATGACACTTTGCTACAATGTAAAGTAGTGAGTGTACAGCTTGTATATCAGTGTACATTTGCTGTCGGCTCAAAAGAACTCAACACACAGCCATTAATCTCTAAACCGCTGGCAACAAAAGTGAGTACACCCCTAAGTGAAAATGTCCAAATTGGGTCCAAATAGCCATTTTCCCTCCCCAGTGTCATGTGACTCATTAGTGTTACGAGGTCTCAGGTGTGAATGGGGAGCAGGTGTGTTAAATTTTGGTGTTATCGCTCTCACTCTCCCATACTGGTCACTGGAAGTTCAACATGGCACCTCATGGCAAAGAACTATCTGAGGATCTGGAAAAAAAGAATTGTTGCTCTTCATAAAGATGGCCGAGGCTATAGGAAGATTGCCAAGACCCTGAAACTGAGCTGCAGCACAGTGACCAAGACCATGCAGCGGTTTAACAGGACAGGTTTCACTCAGAATAGGCCTCGCCATGGTCGACCAAAGAAGTTGAGTGCACGTGCTTAGCTTCATATCCAGAGGTTGCCTTTGGGAAATAGACGTATGAGTGCTGCCAGCATTGCTGCAGAGGTTGAAGGGGTGGGGGGTCAGCCTGTCAGTGCTCAGACCATATGCCGCACACTGCATCAAATTGGTCTGCATGGCTGTCGTCCCAGAAGGAAGCCTCTTCTAAAGATGATGCACAAGAAAGCCCGCAAACAGTTTGCTGAAGACAAGCAGACTAAGGACATGGATTACTGGATAAAGTGTCCTGTGGTCTGATGAGACCAAGATAAACTTATTTGGTTCAGATGGTGTCAAGCGTGTGTGGTGGCAACCAGGTGAGGAGTACAAAGACAAGCGTGTCTCGTCTACAGTCAAGCATGGTGGTGGGAGTGTCATGGTCTGGGGCTGCATGAGTGCTGGCGGCACTGGGGAGCTACAGTTTATTGAGGGAACCATAGATGACAACATGTACTGTGACATACTGAAGCAGAGCATGACCCCCACCCTTCGGAGACTGGGCCACAGGGCAGTATTCCAACATGATAACGACCCCAAACACACCTCCAAGGCGACCACTGCCTTGCTAAAGAAGCTGAGGGTAAAGGTGATGGACTGCATATCTCCAGACCTAAACCCTATTGAGCATCTGTGGGGCATCCTCAAACGGAAGGTGGCGGAGCGCAAGCTCTCTAATATCCACCACCTCCGTGATGTCATCATGGAGGAGTGGAAGAGGACTCCAGTGGCAACCTGTGAAGCTCTGGTGAACTCCATGCCCAAGAGGGTTAAGGCAGTTATGACACCTCTGCTCACAGACCCGAATGGCATTCAGGAGTTCACGAATAGCATTCGGGAGTTCCCGAATGCTATGTAGTATTTGACAGCTGAGAATGGCAAATGGGCAGAGCGAGCCATGACATCAAATAGGCCTCGCCATGGTCGACCAAAGAAGTTGAGTGCACGTGCTTAGCTTCATATCCAGAGGTTGCCTTTGGGAAATAGACGTATGAGTGCTGCCAGCATTGCTGCAGAGGTTGAAGGGGTGGGGGGTCAGCCTGTCAGTGCTCAGACCATATGCCGCACACTGCATCAAATTGGTCTGCATGGCTGTCGTCCCAGAAGGAAGCCTCTTCTAAAGATGATGCACAAGAAAGCCCGCAAACAGTTTGCTGAAGACAAGCAGACTAAGGACATGGATTACTGGATAAAGTGTCCTGTGGTCTGATGAGACCAAGATAAACTTATTTGGTTCAGATGGTGTCAAGCGTGTGTGGTGGCAACCAGGTGAGGAGTACAAAGACAAGCGTGTCTCGTCTACAGTCAAGCATGGTGGTGGGAGTGTCATGGTCTGGGGCTGCATGAGTGCTGGCGGCACTGGGGAGCTACAGTTTATTGAGGGAACCATAGATGACAACATGTACTGTGACATACTGAAGCAGAGCATGACCCCCACCCTTCGGAGACTGGGCCACAGGGCAGTATTCCAACATGATAACGACCCCAAACACACCTCCAAGGCGACCACTGCCTTGCTAAAGAAGCTGAGGGTAAAGGTGATGG